CCTAAACCTTAACCCTAACATTTAACCCTTAATCCTAACCCTAGCCCTTACCCTAACCCTAAACTGTAACCCTAGCCCTTGATCCTAACACTAATATTTAACCCTAACCCTAGCCCTTAATCCTAGCCCTTACCCTAACATTTAACCCTAGCCCTTAATCCTAACACTAACATTTAACCCTAACCCTAGCCCTTAATCCTAACCCTAGATCTTAACCCTAACATTTCCCCCTAACCCTAGTCCTCAACCCTAACCCTAACATTTAGCCATAACCCTAGCCCTTAATCCCAACCCTAGCTCTTAACAATAACCTTAACATTTCACCCTAACCCTTAACCCTAACTGTAACATTTAACACTAGCCATAGCCCTTATCCCTAACCCTAACATTTAACCTTAACCCTAACCCTAGCACTTAGGTCTAGCTCTTAACCCTGACATTTAACCCTAACTCTAACATTTAACCCTAATCCTAGCCCTTTAAGCCTAGCCCTTAACGCTAACATTTAACCCTAACCCTAGCCCTTAATCCTAACCCTAGCCCTCGACCCTAACATTTAACCCTAACCCTATCCCTCGCTAAACGCACCAGTAAATGCATCAATCGCAACTTGCATAGATGTGAACTTAGCCACAAAGTTCTGTATGCTTTTTTTCTGTTGATATCACCCCAGGAGAAGGAGTCAAAACAGTTGGTACTATTTATCCTCAGTGGAGGGAAAAGGCGTTTTATGACCTTTATAATATACAGGTCATTTAAAGAAGTCGAAATCACACTTTGGTTGAACGTGAGCAACGATGGATTTCTATTTAACAGAGTGGATTGATGACTGATTTACAGCACAAAGGGACGTTTTTTGCAACATAGATCCAGACTTTGTGTTTTTTAAATTTTTTTCACGTTTGATTTTTTTAAAGGACACTAGAGCACATAATTGTTTTATGATTCCCTTTTATGCACAAAAGTTAAATATTTTTATGTTTATTATTTACAGCACTGCCCTATATATTATGTGTATAATTCTTATGCAGCAAGCAGCTCAGGAGTATTTTATATAATACTACCTCCCATGGGATACTGTGGTTGTGTTGGCCATCACATTCTGTCCTTGGCACCATACTGGCAAAGTTGCTTTAAAATAATGTTGGGTGGTGGTGACATTGAGGCCCTGGGCACCCAGCAAAAGATGCTGGTACATGTTCCAAGAGCCCAGTGCTAGTAACGTCCATGTCCATATTCCTTCCACCGATAATTTTAGGTAGTTCTAAGATGTGTTGTCCAAGAATGACAAGTGTTAATCCACTTTCATGGACAAAATATACCATAAAAATATATACTGTGTATATATACATATATATATTTATAAAAGATATGCATAGATGTATTTATCATATACAATTGCTAGAAAAGCCATTTGTAATATAATGTTTTTAAAAATTACCTTTCCTTTTGAGTCTGCAGCACAGCAATGTTCTGTAAAATTCAATGTAATATGACATGTCATCCTGTAGGCATTCTGTACACAGTTGGTGTACAGAAGGCCTCTAAATATGTATTTTCCTGCTTGTGTGATTGGCTCACTGACTTTCCTAGAAGTTTGCACTAAGATACAAGGCACTCCCTGTAATATAAATGTAAGTTTTAGTGGGCTATGCCCCAATGGTTTTAAAGGGATGCAGGCACTGCTGCTTTCTTCATTAGATCATAGAAAGTGTATCGGCTAATTTTAATAAATCAGTCAACCCCATTCAGATTAAAGTGGTTCTAATTCCCTAAGGGTTTTTACCTTAATACATTCTGTGCATCAAGGTAAATAAATGTCTGTTGCAAAGGATCCCCCCCCAGCCTCCCTTATAATTACCAGAGCCCAATCTTGACCCAGAGATGTGGACCAGAGCAGTGGCTTTCCTGATTCTGTCCCTCCTCACTGGGCAGATTGATAGCTGCAGGAGCCATTGGGCTGAGCCCCGCTGTCGTCTGTGTCACCAGACACAGACAGCGGGCCTTGGGAGCGAGCCTGCACATGTGCCACCAGAGGAAGTGGTTTCCTATGGTGGCACACGGAGAAGAGAAGAAGCCGAGAGCACGTTGGGGACCCAGAAGAGGAAGGATGGGACTGCTCTGTGCAAAACCATTGCAGAGAACAGGTAAGTATAACAAGTTTTTTATTTTAATTTGTTTAAAAATTTGAAACTTTAATATCACTTTAAGCATGCAATCAAATATTACAGCACAACATCTCTTTGTTTCATTAGTCTGTTAAAATTCCTGCAATGTACATTGGTCTCCCAGTGGGGATGGTTTTTTTCCCCAAAAGTGAAGTTACTTTTTCGGCTCCTGGTGCCGAAAATCATATTATATTGACTCTACTGGAGAATAAATTAACACCTGTTCCACTTGCAGTATGTAACTTACTATTTCATCTGTGTTGAATCCTGCATTACCTTGTTGTGGCATCTGGAACACAAAGGAGCATTATACCTGTCAACAAAAACTGCTGCTCATACCACATGTTTCAGGTAAACCTGTGGCCAGACTATAGACATTTAACTATATACAGTTGCAAGAAAAAGTATGTGAACCCCTTGGGATTACGTGGAGTTTTTGCATGAATTGGGCATAAAATGTGCTCTGAACGTCATCTAAGTCACAACAATAGAAGAACACAGTCTGCTGAACATAATACTACACAAACATTAGATGTTGCCATGGTTTAATTGCACATAACATGTAAAAATTCACAGTGCAGGGAGGAAAAAGTATGTGAGGCCCTAGCTTAATGACTTCTCCCAGACCCAATTGAAGCCAGGAGTGAGCCAACCTTGACTCCAATCAGTATGATGATATTGGATGTGTTGCTGACAGCTGTCCTGCCCTTAAAAAACACACACCTGTTTTGGGTTTACTGGTTTCAAGAAGCACTGTCTGATGTGAACCATGCCTCGCAGAAAAGAGCTCTCAGAAGACCTACGATCAAGAATTGTTGACTTGCATGAAGCTGGAAAGGGTTACAAAAGTATCTCCAAAAGCCTTGATGTTCATGTGTCCACGGTAAGACAGACTGTTTACAAATGGAGAAAGTTTAGCACTGTTGCTACTCTCCCTAGGCGTGGTCGTCCTGTAAAAATGACTGCAAGAGCACAGCGCAGAATGCTGCATGAGGTAAAGAAGAATCCCAGAGTGTCAGCTAAAGACCTACAGAAATCTCTGGCACATGCTAACATTTTTGTTGACACATCTACAATAAGGAAAACATTAAACAAGAATGGAGTACATGGGAGGACACCACGGAGGAAGCCATTGCTGTCCAAAAAGAAGATTGCAGCACGTTTGAAGTTTGCCAAAGAGCACCTGGATGTTCCACAGCACTACTGGCAAAATATACTGTGGACAGATGAAACCAAGACTGAGTTGTTTGGGAAGAACACACAACACTATGTGTGGAGAAAAAAAGGCACAGCACACCAACATCAAAACCTCATCCCCACTGTGAAACATGGCGGAGGGAGCATCATGGTTTGGGGCTGCTTTGCTGCCTCAGGGCCTGGACGGATTGTTGTCATTGATGGGAAAATGAATTCCAGAGTTTATCAAGACATTTTGCAGGAAAACGTACGACCATTTGTCCGCCAACTGAAGCTCCGCAGAGGATGGGTGATACAACAGGACAATGACCCAAAGCATACAAGTCATTCAACAAAACAATGGCTACAACAGCACAGAATACGCCTTCTGGAGTGGCCCAGTCAGAGTCCTGACCTCAACCCCATTGAAATGCTGTGGCATGACCTTAAGAGAGCGATTCACACCAGACATCCCAAGAATATTGCTACACTGAAGCAGTTTTGTGAAGAGGAGTGGTCCAAAATTACTCCAGATCGTTGTGCAGGTCTGATCTGCAACTACAGGAAACGTTTGGTTGAGGTTATTGCTGCCAAAGGAGTGTCAACCAGTTATTAAGTCCAAAGGTTCACATACTTTTTCCTCCCTGCACTGTGAATGTTTACATGTTATGTGCAATTAAACCATGGCAACATCTAATGTTTGTGTAGTATTATGTTCAGCAGACTGTGTTCTTCTATTGTTGTGACTTAGATGACGTTCAGAGCACATTTTATGCCCAATTCATGCAAATCTCCACGGAATCCCAAGGGGTTCACATACTTTTTCTTGCAACTGTACATATTCTTCATAAGCAGTTGTTGCCATTAAAACAAGCAATTATTGATTCCTGTTACCACAGCCACTGTGGATCAGTTAATTTTCAAAGGTCACAGTAAAAGTACTAATGTTATTCTCTCAGTAGCTCAGGTGACCCAGCAACCCACCTCCCAGAAGTGATCTGGCAGCCTTCAAATCTTCTAATCTCTAATATAAACACTATTGAAGTGTTCTGGGAGGAGAGAGCAGATGGAGCTAAGCTGAAGAGGGAAGGACCCAAATGACTTGTGGTGTAAAATTTCAGAATAAATTGCTCCACAGTGGCTTCAGCTACAAAGGTCAGTGAGAGCTTGTTTTTAAAGTAACCTGATGTTTATTAAGTATATGTAAATGCTTGAAATCTCATAGCCTAGCTACAGGTTCGTTTTGTGGGGATATGGGCTTACATTAACATAGCAGAGAGCACACTTTTCAAATGACTATTTTCTGTGTGGATACCAACCTAATGTGGCAGGCTGGTGTCAGTGGAGAGAGGAATACAATTTTTGGGGGGTTTTTTTAGGAGGGTAGTCAAAAAAAGAATAAAAACTATAGATCAAGCATGGATTGGCCAAGCATTTGTGGCCATGAACTGGTCAATATGGATTGAATTTTCAACTCAGGAAATAATTTCACTAATTTGTGGTTACTGTTTAACATACAAAACTTTTATTACATTTTGAGAACAATTCTATATAATGTTTACAGGGGTTTTTGAGTTAGTTCACATGCCCTCATTACATTTCATATCTAGAAACAAATGATTAATAAAAAATGTTTCAATAGTATTTTGTGCATACCTTGTAGACAAATCCATCTGGGCAGCTGTGATCATATGTGAAGGCTTTGTACACCACAAGGAACACTATGCAGGCGAGGAACGCAAGTGCCAGACTTATCAGAATTGTGACCTAGAGAGAATAGAACAAAAAAAAAGTAATATATTACGTTCTTTATGCCATGTGCAAAAAATCACCTGTACAAAAAAAAAAAAAAAGATCTGTGCTGTCACATCCTAGATATAATTATTGGGTCATATTGATGTATTTATTTGGTGAATACTTCTATGGAAAAGATGTTTTCAAGTGGATGTTTTGCCCCTGGGATGAAAAACAGGGACATTGCAGTACTGAAAAGATTACAATCAATAGGAGGAAATTGACAGCTTCCCTCTCGCATAGCCAAAGAATGAAGACAAGTAAGCATCATTAGGGCTTGAGTGTTCTTTCTGATCTTCCTGGAACCTGACATCACGTCTTTCTTTGCATGGCCTTTTGATAATGCACCATGAATTAAATTACACAGAGCATCTCAAGGTTTTCAAAGGATAGAAAGCTTTTCAAGAGGTTTGTGCTTTCAGCACATCTGCTCATGAGCAGAAATAGTTCTTTGAGTTTGTCGATTAAGAGATCATATAAAACCAAAAAATCCACCCACCAGCACAAAAATATATATCACATTTCTGCCCTAACAGGCCATTAATGGAAACCCCACATTTAACCCCTCCTACACTTTCTAAACTTGCTTTAGATTCCTGCCTACTTGTCTTATTTTTTGTTTTTCAGGGCATCTACTTCTGTCTTTGAGAATTGTTCAAACCTAACATAATGTACCACAATGCATTGCTTTACTAACTGTCAAATGCACCGTCTTTGTGAAAGGCAGGGGAAAAGTTGTGCTACTCTAAAGGTGGATAGAAAGATTGAGGGAATATGGTTGCATAGCACATTAAGTGTATGTCTGACAAAAAACATACTCAGCACATTTCTCCAAAATATGCATATTTGCCCAGGTTATATCCGTTCTTGTGCAAGTACAAAAAAGTACCTGTTGATTGACCAAAAATCGAGTATGCTCCCAACTTCTTGTAGTGAACCAACAACACTGCCTCTGCTGCATTGAAATCCTGAATAGTATTGTCAGTCCTGTCAGTTCTCCTTTGCTGGGCTACTAAATACCTACCCACTTATATTATAGATATGGAGAAAGAAGGGAGAGGTGTTCTGTACATGGGAGGAGAACTCAAACAGATAACACAAATTTTGGCTAGAGTAGGGGATGGTTTAAACTCTTGTTTTGTTTTTTTTTGGGGGGGAGGGGGAGTTTGATGTCTGTGTTACTTTTTCTTTTGTATCCCCTGTGTTTGAACACAACAGAAAGTAAGAGTAGATTTCTTCAAAGGAAGAAATGTTTCCTCTTAGACAGTTGTCATTAGAAAAAGTATTCCCATTGGAAGACTTCCCCTCTATTTCTGTTCTCGTAATACATTTAAATTTTGAATTTTTTCTTATGTTAAAGCTTTACTCAACTACCCCACCACCCCATATTTTTTCCACTTACCTGCAGATATACTTTAAGCTTTTTTAGTAGCTACATAGAACCTACTTTACTACAACTTAACAAATAAGTAGTGGGGGTATTGTTAGTACAATGGCTACTTTGGGAAAAATTTAATGGAACATGATTATTTCTACATATATTGTCTTATTTAATAAGACAATACAAACTAGCTATGTGCAGTAGCAGGGACACAAATTTAATCAACCCAAGCATTGCGACGAAAACCACAGTGAAAAGATTTATGCACTCCAGGAGAATAAAATCACAAATCGTTTTCAAAAACTTTTGCTTTTTCTGGATTTAATGGTCTGTAGAAAATTGAGGAAATAACAATGAACACATAAGTCATTTGTTCAACCAATTTGATCCTGACCCAGTTGCTCAATCACATGTGAAGGTTGAAAAGAAGAGGTGAAGATCAAGTGATGCTCATCACTATCTTTTAGCCAACATATCTTTCTCCAGTTTCATCTAAATTCTTTGTCTAAAACAGTAATTAGAACTATTTCATCTCTCATTTTAGCCAGAAGCTACTTCTTCATCTTTTTAAAACAAAACTTTATTTCTTAGCAAACTTAAATGACCTTTCTTTATATATTCATATATATAAATACTCTATAATAATAAATATATATATATATATATATATATATATATATATATATATATATATATATATACACATACATACACTATACTGCCAAAAGTATTGGGACGCCGCCTGCACATGAACTTTAATGGCACCCCAGTCTTAGTCAGTAGGGTTCATTATTGAGGTGGCCCACTTTTTTCAGCTATAACAGCTACAACTCTTCTGGGAAGGCTGTCCACAAGGTTTAGGAGTGTGTCTATGGGAATGTTTGACCAGTCTTCCAGAAGCGCATTTGTGAAGTTAGGCACTGATGTCAGACAAGAAGGTCCGGCTCACAGTCTTCCCTCTAATTCACCTCAAATGTGTTCTATCGGGTTGAGGCCAGAACGTGATTTGTCACTCCATGGAACACATCTCCACTGCTCTAGAGTCTAGTGGCAGCGTGTTTTTACACCACTGCATCCGGCCCAATGCAGTCAGGTACGTACTGTTCTCCTGGCAACCACCAAACCCAGACACGTCCATCTGATTGCCAGACAGAGAAGTGTGATTCATCACTCCAGAGAACACGTCTCCACTGCTCTAGAGTCCAGTGGCGGTGTGCTTTACATCACTGCATCCGAAGCTTTGCATTGCACTTAGTGATGTAAGACTTAGATACAGCACTCGGCTATGGAAACCCATTCCATGAAGCTCTCTACGCACTGTTGTTGTGCTAATCTGAAGGGCACACCAAGTTTGAAGGTCTTTAGCTATTGACTCTGCAGACAGTTGGCGACTGTTGTGCTCCTAAGCATGCACTGACCCCGCTCTCTGTCATTTTATGTTGCTTACCACTTCATGGCTAAGTTGTTGTTGTTCCCAGTTGCTTCCACTTTGTTATAATACCACTAGCAGTTGACCGTGGATTATTTAGTAGCAAGGAAATTTCACGGATAGACTTATTACACAGCTGGAAACCTAGAGCTACTGAGAGTGACTCATTCTTTCACAAATGTTTGGCTGGCCATACATTATACAATTTTCGAGAATTTTGCTTTAGATTTACCAAAATCATATAATATGAAACAGCACTTTCAATTGTGTCCAATTAGAAATTTGGTAGGGTCATTGGTTTGAACCCTAACCATGGCACTACCTGCCTGGAGTTTGCATGTTGTGCCTGTGTGGGTTTCCTCCGGGTACTCTGGTTTCCTCCTACACTCGAAAGACATGCTGGTAATTTAATTGGATCCTGTCTAAATTGGCCCTAGTATGTCTATGTATGAATGTAAGTTAGGAACTTTAGATTGTATTCCCCTTGAGGGCAGGGACTGATGTGAATGTACAATATATATATATATATATATATATATATATATATATATATACACAGTGAGGACCAGAAGTATTTGAACACCCTGCGATTTTGCAAGTTCTCCCACTTAGAAATCATGGAGGGGTCTGAAATTCACATTGTAGACGCATTCCCACTCTGAGAGACAGAATTTAAAAAAAAAATTCAGGAAATCACATTGTATGATTTTTAAAGAATTTATTTGTCTTGCACTGCTGAACATAAGTATTTGAACACCTAAGAAACAGCAAGAATTCTGGCTCTCAAACAGCTTTTTACTGTGCCTTTAAAAAGTCCACCTCTACTCCACTCATTAATCTAACTTAGTAGCACCTGCCTGAGCTCTTTAAAGACACCTGTCCACCCCACAGTCAGTCAGACGCCAACTACTACCATGGGCAAGACCAAAGAGCTGTCAAAAGACACCAGAGACAAAATTGTGGACCTCCACAAGGCTGGAAAGGGCTATGGGGCAATTGCCAAGCAGCTTGGTGAAAATATTTTAACTGTTGGAGCAATTGTTAGAAAATGGAAGAGGCTAAAGATGACTGTCAGCCTCCCTCGGACTGGGGCTCCATGCAAGATCTCACCTCGTGGGGTATCACTGATGATAAGAAAGGTGAGGAATCAGCCCAGAACTACTAGGGAGGAGCTGGCCAATGACATGAAGAGAGCTGGGACCACAGTTTCAAAGGTCACTGTCGGTAGAACACTACGCCGTCATGGTTTCAAATCATGCATTGCACGGAAGGTTCCCCTGCTCAAGTCATCACATGTCCAGGCCCGTCTGAAGTTTGCCGATAACCATCTGGATGCTCCAGAGGAGGCATGGGAGAAAGTCATGTGGTCAGATGAGACCAAAGTAGAACTTTTTGGTCTAAACTTCACTCGTCGTGTTTGGAGGAAAAAGAAGGATGAGTTGCATCCCAAGAACACCATCCCTACTGTGAAGCATGGGGGGTGGTAACATCATGCTTTGGGGGTGCTTTTCTGTGAAGGGGACAGGACGACTGCACTGTATTAAGGAGAGGATGAATTGGGACATTTATTGTGAGATTTTGAGGAACAACCTCTTTCCCTCAGTCAGAGCATTGAAGATGGGTCGTGGCTGGGTCTTCCAACATGACAACGACCCAAAGCACACAGCCAGGATAACCAAGGAGTGGCTCCGTAAGAAGCATATCAAGGTTCTGGAGTGGCCTAGCCAGTCTCCAGACCTAAATCCAATAGAACATCTTTGGAGGGAGCTAAAACTCAGTGTTGCTCAGCGACAGCCCTGAAACCTGACAGATCTAGAGGAGATCTGTGTGGAGAAGTGGGCCAAAATCCTTGTTGCAGTGTGTGCAAACCTGGTCAAGAACTGAACTACAGGAAACGTTTGACTTCTTTAATTGCAAACAAAGGCTTCTGTACCAAATATTAACACTGATTTTCTCAGGTGTTCAGATACTTATGTTCAGCAGTGCAAGACAAATAAATTCTTTAAAAATCATACAATGTGATTTCCTGAATTTTTTTTTAATTCCATCTCTCAGAGTGGGAATGCACCTACAATGTGAATTTCAGA